TGTTTATACATATACATATATGTATATATATAGATATATGTATATATATATATTATAAATACATACATTACAGACACAGACACAGACACACACGCACACGTATACCAGTATATCGGAAGACATGCGCATACTAACTAGCTCGAATGAAAATTCACTAACTATGCAGCTCGAATGTCCTTCCTAGGTCAAATACCCCAGCCACCATCACCTACCGCCGGATCAAACGAGGAGTGCCGTAGGCTGAGGCAGTTGCTGCTGCTTTCGGCTTCTCCGTCAGAGCCACAGTCCACGGCTTCGTGGTCGGGCGTGCGGGTGTCTGGTTGAGTTGTGCGGATGGACAATTAATTGTAAACAAATTAGTTTTAAATTAATTTTAAAAAGTAAACAGAAGCAATCACAGAAGTAAGAACATCTAAAATGGCGAATGTGTATCATCCGTTTTTAATAGCAGCAGTGGATATGAATCACTTGGGCGGAGAGCTTTGTGTAAGCGTGTGAGATACTATACGTGGCCTAGGATTGAAACGTGTCAGTTGCTGTAGTTGTGTGAGTGTGTAGACAGCTGTTTACTTATGTGAGTGGTCACTGCCTCGTATCGAACGGGGTGAGGGGTTGAAGTTGCGTGCGGACAGAGTCAGCGGGTGTGTACTTGATTGAGCTGGTACATCTGGTATTGAAACACGATAGCGAATGTGTTGAAACATGATAGTTAATGTATTGAAACATGATAGTTTATGTATTGAAACATGATAGTTTATGTATTTATTGATTTAGTTTGTGTTGATTCATGATAGTTTATGAATTGATTAATGATAGTTATGTATTGAATAACGTTAGTTTACGCATGGATTAATGATAGTTTATGTATTGATTAATGATAGTTTATGTATTGATTTATGTTAATTTATGTATTGATTAATGTTCGTTTATGTATTGATTGATGTTAGTTTATGTATTGATTAATGTTAGTTTATGTACTGATTGATGTTAGTTATGTATTGATTAATGTTAGTTTATGTATTGATTAATGATAATTTATATATTGATTGGCGTTAATTTTATAGGTATTGATTCTTTTTAGGTTATGTACATGCGAGAGTACACAAATTAGGTGTAAGGGCAACAAGCACTTAACATATCAACACGGACTTGTTATATCTCTCGATATCACATCCACACACTTGGGATACAAGCAACATACTGCAGATATCAGGACAACAGACACCTAATATTGAATCAATATAAATGTGGTATGTTACTATCAAACAACACAAAATAGGTATTTAGACCACAAACACTTAACATTGCATCAACGTAAATTGGTCATGTAACCATCCCCTGGATATCCCATTCACATACACGCAGATTCTACACACCCACACACACACTGATTCAACACACACCCACACACACGCAGATTCAAAGCACACCCACACACACACAGATTCAACACACACCCACACACATGCAGATTCGACACACACCCACACACACACAGATTCAACACACACCCACACCCACACAGATTCAACACACACCTACACACACGCAGATTCAAAGCACACCCACACACACAGAGATTCAACACACACCCACCCACACGCATATTCAACACACGCCCACACACACGCAGATTCAAAGAACACCCACACACACGCCCACACACACGCAGATTCAAAGCACACCCACACACACGCAGATTCAACACCCACACACACGCAGATTCAAGCACACCCACACACACGCAGATTCAACACACACCCACACACACACAGATTCAACACACACCCCACACACAGATTCAACACACACCCACACGCACACAGATTCAACTCACACCCACACACACGCAGATTCAAAGCACACCCACACACACACAGGTTCAACACACACACTTGGCATCAAGACAGCACCATTTGATATACCACTACCCAGCACACGGTGGCATTTCATTTCAACACACGCGCACTCCGAGTCAAACCCCAACACAGCAGTCGATGTCTAACTACAATGCCACACAGCCGAATCACGCCAGGTACACTAACTAATCCATCCTCCAGACACATCAAACATAACTCATCCTCCAGACACATCAAACACACTACCTTCGAGGTGGTTCGGTCGCGCATAGGCAGCGGTAGTGTGTGCCTGGGTGTTGTGGCCTGAGCTTCTCTCACCGGCACTGACCACAGGCGCGAGGGCAGCGCCTGGTGTCATCGGCTGGTGCGTGTTGGCGGGGGTTTGCCCCACACCCCTTCTCAACGGGTATCGGAATTCGTTCTCCTTGAAATCCGGCCTGTGTGCAGTACAAGACAATTAAAGAGGAGGGGGTGGGCGGGTGCAATTTAGAATCCAAGCATGATGGGAATAAACGACAAGCAAGGAGGCAAACCAACCGCACGCTATTAGCCTATCTCGGAATCCGAATCAGATTACATAAACATGTCATGAGCATGACAGCCTAAATAAATGATGACATAAACAGTGATATGAGCATGACAGCCTAAATATATGATGACATAAACATGTTATGAGCATGACAGCCTAAATAAATGCGGCCAAACAGCGTCCAATGTACTTGTTGTTCGTCTTCTTCGGTGCAAAACGGTCTTAGCTGGTGAATACAAGGTGCATCTAAAGGGGCTAGCTCTGGAGGATCTGGCGTGTGGCATGAGCGTACACAACAAGCACACAGCTGGCAACAAGGTACCGAATATCAGAAACACCCGCGGATAGATGTACAGAACATCAGAAACACCCGCAGATAGGCGTCTATATACTGCCCCGGGGGAGCGTTGTTTGTTTGGAAGGTATGGGGTTTAGGGTTTAGCTAAAACCCTAAAACCTAAAATCCCATGAACATCTAGCTGTTCACAACCCAGTCCACACACTTCACAGCCCAAGTGTGGGCAATGTGGATTGGTGCATACACACTTTGCACTCGACATCTCATGCGTATGGCCAGGTAGCCACCGCATCCTCCGCCGCTTTACTTTGAGTTGGTTGTGGAATAGCTTGTTCTGCGGGTGCTCAGATCTGACCCATAAAAAGACAAACCACACTCATGTAACACTCACACACTCCCATTCAACCACATAAAAGCTTACAACACTCATGTAACACTCACATACTCTCATTCAACCACATAAAAGCTTACAACACTCATGTAACATTCACACTCCCATTCAACCACATAAAAGCTAACAACACTCATGTAACACTCACACATTCCCATTCATCCGCTTCTGTATCTGTAGACTTGCCTTATTGGTGTGTCTATGGCATTCCTTTTCTCCCTATCCCTGTCTCGCAAAGGACCGCTGAATAGATTGCTACCACAGACCACATCGCACGCAATCACACACACACACACACCGTTCGTTACAGTATCACTTCGCATTCATCTCATACTCTCCCTGTAGAGTTACTGACAGGTCCTCATAACCTACCTGTACAGGTAAGTTATGTATATGCACGCTGTTCTCCAGGTTAGCCCTATAACCTACCTGTAGAGGTAAGTTATACACATGCACGCTTTTCTCCAGGTTAGCCCTGTCACCTACCTGTAGAGGTGCCCCATGGGTGTTTCCACGGTCTTGTCCTTCTCCCTGTCCCTATCTCTGAAGAATAGCTTGTTGTGCAGGTGTGCGTGTGGTGAGGTGGTGCCCTGCGCCCGTTCTTGGTCGCGATGGAGTGTGTCGTGTGTGCTGCGGTAGATGGGCCTCCCAGCTGATGCGAGTGGTGAGATGGAGGGTTTTAGGGGTTTAGGGGTTTAGTGGTTAAGGGTTTTTGGGTTTAAGGGAGGTCAAGGACGCGGGTGACTAACCACTAAACCTGGGGATTGGGTGCTGACAGCCAGGAGAAGAAATAGTGTCTCAGGGCGTTGGCATTGAGATAAGGAGTGTTCAAGCGAAGGGCAAGTGCCACAGTAACACATCAAGAGAAAGGAGAGCAGACTGAGCTTTCTATCTGGTGCTGATGGCAAGGCGAGGACTGAAGTCTCGGGAAACTTAAGGTGAGATCTTTGTTGGTACAGTGAGGGTGTTGCAGAAGCATGTGGGATGAAGACCACCTATCTCATGTACACACGCATGCCACAGCCAGTACCTACACGAAGCAGTTCATCTATCTCATATACACACGCATGCCACAGCCAGTACTTACATGAAGCAGTTCATCTATCTCATATACACACGCATGCCACAGCCAGTACCTAGCAGTTCATCTATCTCATATACACATGCATGCCACAGCTAACTGGGTTGCCATAGCAACGTGTGCTTACCTGTTTCCACAAGGTCTGTTTGGTCGCCGTCCGTGTCCTTGTTGTTAGTGCTGATAAACACTTCGAGCTTAAACTTGGCCTTGACTTCGATGTGCTGCTGGATCAAGTGTTGGTCACCCGACTGCCGGTGGGCGTTTGGAGTATACGTAAACGAGTAAAAGCGAATCATTTGAATGGTATTATACGTGATATCGTATATAACGCGTATAAGCGAATCAGATGAATGATACTATACATGATAGCGTAAGCGTTAAAGTGTAGAAACCCATGCACACATAACGCATGGCGCAATATATGGTAACGTATATGCTATATGAAGTGAACCACGAGGGTATAAGCGAATCAGATGAAGGTACTATACGTGATAGCGTACATAACACGTATAAGCGAATCAGATGAATGGTACTATATGTGATAGCGCACATAACACGTATAAGCGAATCAGATGAATGGTACTATATGTGATAGCGCACATAACGCGTATAAGCGAATCAGATGGGGTGACTGCAGGCGGACCTGAGGTCTCTGCTGCGTGTTTTGTTGGACCGGATCATAACTTCATAACTCACGCACTCGTCTGTAAAGAATTTGAACCTCGAGGGATGTAGCTAAGTCGATGGGTGAACGTGTCTTGAGCCTTAGAAGTGCTTGGGGATATCACACATGCATATACGGAAAAGAGTATGTGTATGTGTATGTGTATACGCATCATTCGCATAACGAGTATGTATATGTCCATGTGTATACGCATCATTAGTATAGTGAGTATGTGTATGTGTATACGCATCATTAGTATAGTGAGTATGTGTATGTGTATGTGTGTACGTATCATTTGTATAACGAGTTTGTGTATGTGTATGTGTATGTGTATGTGTGTACGTATTATTAGTATAATAAGTATGTGTATGTGTATGTGTATGTGTATGTGTGTACGTTTCATTAGTATAACAAGTATGTGTGTGTGTATGTGTATGTGTGTACGTATCATTAGTACAACGAGTATGTGTATGTGTATGTGTATTCGTATCATACGAATAGTACACCAAGATACTCGCACATTCACAAAACTACGTTCCTGCATATTCGGGAATCATGATCAACGCTCGTATTTTGACAGCTATGCAGAAGAGTAGTACACACGCCCGGAATTATTTCACCAGCACTCGCCGATATACGTTAATACACAGCGCCACAATACTGTAACAAGCATGGGGGCAACTCTACCCATTCCCTTTATACAACACTACATTTAAAAGAAACATATCCCCCGTTTCATTGATACAATTTGTACATACAAGAAACATATCTACCTATTCCATTTATACAACTATTACATCTAAAATAAACATATCACCCGTTTCATTGATACAACCAGTACATACAAGAAATATACATACCTATTCCATATATACAATTACTACATAATATAAATATACCCATGTTAAAATATAGCACTCAGAACCAGCGTACCGAACTCCCTAAGGCATGGGGCGATGCCACTAAGGCTGGCCCAGCCGATAAGTGGCCCATTGTGTTGGCACCTAGAGGACTTCTAGTCCGTGAAAGCTCTGAGAACATAGAACTTGTCGGCCTCCTTGGCGAGGTAACTGCGGCATTAAGGGTAATAGGAAGTTTGTTTGTGAACGATGCTATATATATATATATATATATATATATACATACATATATATATATANATATATATAATATATATATATATATTATACACTAACATCTCTGCATGTGTACATCTCTACCTATGCGTACATCAGTAATAAATAGAGATATGGATACAGACACATATATATACATACATAACAACATATATATATATATATATATATATATATAATATATAGTAGTATAGTTAATGTAGTAGGAGTATAATAATAATAAACCTAAAATAAAACTAA